TTCGATGCTTGTTTTCAGCCTTTGTCTCCAATGTTGAAGAACAGTGTTACTTAGTGTAGGGTTAATCTTATGAATATAAAATAAACTGCAAATAGATCACTGTAAAAATTAAAAGAATGAGAAAGAAAGAAGGAGGGAGGTATGGGCAAGAGGGACCATAGGGTGTGAAGTATCATTATATTCCTAAATCTGTTTATATGAAATACATGAAATTTGTTCACTTTAAAAAATTAAAAATTTTAAAAAGGGGCTAGCAATACGGCATAAAGGGTTAAGACTCTGCCTGCAGTGCCAGCATCTCATATGGGCACTGATTCAAATCCCAGCCACTTGGATTCTGATCCAGCTCCCTGCTAATAAAGTACCTGGGAAAGCAATGGAAGATGGCCCAAGTGCTTGGGCTCCTGCACTCATGTGGGAGACTCAGAAGAAGCTCCTCGATCCTGGCTTTAGCCTGTCCTAGCCCCAAGCCATTGTGTCCATTGGGGAGTGAACTAATGAATATAAAATCTGTCCCTGGCCCTTCCCCTCCTCCTCTGTAACTCTGCCTTTCAAATAAATAATCTTTAAAAAACTTTTAAAAGATACTACAAACACTGGTTAAAAAATACAGTGAGAGGCCGGCCTTGTGGTAGAGCAAGTAAAGCCACTGCCTGTAGTGCTGGCATCCCAAATGAGCGCTGGTTCAAGTCCCGGCTGCTCCACTTCTGATCTAGCTCTCCAATACGGCCTGGGAAAGCAGCAGAAGATGGCCCAACTTTTTGGGCCCCTGCACCTATGTGGGAGACCCGGAAGAAGCTTCTGGCTCCTGGAACAGCTCTGGCTGGTGCGGCTAACTGGGGCGTGAACCAGCAGATGGAAGACCTCTCTCTCTCTGCCTCTCCTTCTCTGTGTAACTCTGACTTTCAAGTAAATAAATAAATCTTTAAAAAAATAGTGAAATTCTTTTAGTGATTCTAATAAGAAGTCAGATACATGTATTAATAAGTATAAAATAATAAAATTACATAGAAAGGCACAAAGGACCATTTGACCTGATACTTATTCATGTAACTTTTCTATATCTTAAACACAAATCTAACAAATGAACAGTTTAAACTTTTTCTTTCAAATGTTTTCATTTTAGATGGTCTTAAAAATTCTAGAATAATAAGTTTTATTAGAATAAATGTTCCCTAGAGGAAACTTCAAAATACCATGTGCAGTTATTGAAGCCTAAAGCTCTACACTAGTACAAAATGTTGTTAACGAATATGTAAGCAAATTAGTTGCAATTTAGAAATTAACATATTCCCAATTAAAAAGGTCATAACTAAATTACTGGCCTTTGAGTACTTTAATAAGAACTATAAAATGCACTCTCCCATTTTCAAAGTGTCCTGATCTGGACTACATTACTGAAAAACACTAAATGTATACTAGTTAAAATTCTTGCTAAATTGTCAGTAGACTTTCCCAAGCACAAACAACTAGAGTAGGACCCTGAGCACTGTCCTACGTGGGGTAGCAGAGGTGAAAAGAGCAGATGAAGAGTAGAAGCAGCACCACGGAGCACTGAGGACTTCTCCACAGCTGCTGCTTGCTGTTCTCAACAGAAAGTGAAGTTCCACATGCAGAGATTCTTTCGGAACCTAGTTCTCCATTTATACCGGAATTGAAGACGCCCTACTTTCTACTGGGGATGCAAGGATTTCAGAAAACTTTCACACTTTGAGAATTCCCAGTCCAGAAATCCAAAATTCAAAATGATCCAAATGACTTGAGCACTTGGGATTTAGGATTTTTGGATTAGCAATGCTCAACCAGTGAAGTCTAAGCAGTTAAACTGGAAAAAGTTTCAAGCATTTAGGATTAAACAAATTTAACCTATACTATACTAAACATTATAGTTCCATATTTCCATACTGACCAAAGGAAAAAATGCAATGAACCTACTTACACAATTAAAATCTGATTGGTTTTTCTTGTCTTCTGAAAATTTTTTAACCAATGACTACCATAAATTGTTACACTGTAAGAAAATCTATTTAAAGGACAAGGAAGGCTAATTAGATTTCAATGTAATAGATTATAAAATATTCATTGATAGGGTTTTAGATTCCACATTGCAATTAACCTCTAAGAAACTACATCTTTGGGCCAGTGTTGTGATACAGCATATATGGGTGTCCGTTCAAGTCCTGGCTGCTTCACTTCCAATCCAGCTCCCTGCTAATGTGCCTGGAAAAGCACTGGAAGATGGAATATGGTCCAAGCACTCAATTGAGGCCCTGCCACCCACGTGGGAGACCAGGATGAAGCTCCTGGCTCGTGGCTTCATCCTGGCACAGCCCTGGCTGTTGAAGCCATCTGGAAAGTGAACCAACAAATGAAAATTGATTCATATTCTCCTTCCCTCTCTCTCCCGTTCTCCCCATATCCTTCTCTTTTTTCCAACTATATCTCAGTGTGAAGCTGGATTGCCCTCATATATGTCAAACTAAATTTCATGTTGCAAAGACTGAATGCAGAAACAGAGGGAAGAATCTATCCTATGTTAACCCAATCATCAAAGGCTTTAAAAAATTATAAAATAATGCTATTCTTAGTGATTTTCATTTCATAAAACCACATTATTGATGTAAACAAGCACCAGGATTATTACTGCTATTTTTAGTTAGATTAATATGATTAAATTTTGGGGGTTTCATTTGTATTTGAAAGGCAGAGGGACAGACTAAAACAGAGAGATCTTCCATTGCTCATTCACCCTCCAAATGCCTGCAACAGCCAGGGTTCAGCCAGGGCATGGCCAAGAGCCTGGAACTCAACCTGCACCTCCACATAGGTGGCAGAGACCCAAGTACTTGAGCCATGACCTGCTGCCTCCCAGGGTGTACATTAGCAGGAATCTGGAATAAGAAGCGCGAGAGCTGGGACTTGAACCAGGCACTCCAACCAATATAGGCTGAGAGCAATCCAAGCATCATCTTAACCACCACATCAGACATCTGCTCCCTGGATTAATATGTTTAAAATTTTCAGTTTTAATTTTTAATAAAATAAATATTGGCAGCTATAGCCTATACAAATAAAAATTCTTTGAAATCCTTGCTATGTCTTCCCTGAAAACTCTTATGTTGAAGACCTGATCCCCAATGTCAGTATATTTGGAGAGAATACATTTAAGGAGGGAACTGAGGTTAAATAAGAACATAGGGGTAGGCATTCCTGTAAAACAGCACTAGCATCCTTCTAAGAGGAAAAGGAGTGGGCATTCTGGCCTTGCAGTTGGGATGTCCACATCCCATATCAGAATACCTGGGTTAAAATCCTGGCTCCTGATTGCAGCTTCTGTGTACTCTGGGAGGCAGCAGGTGTTGGCTCAAGCAGTTGGATTTCTACCACCCATGAGGGAGACCTGGATTGAGACCTGGCTCCTAGGTTTGGCCTGACCCAGCCCTGGCTATTGCAGGCATTTGGGGTAGTAAACAAGTAGATGGTAGCTTGTTTTTGCTCTCCCTCTGTTTATGTCAAATAAATAAATAAATAAATAAAAATTTAAAAAGAAAAAAAAAAAAAGAGAGAAGACACCAGCGACCTCCTTTCTTGCTCTAAGCACTCACAGAAGGCCACTGAAGAACACAGAAAGAACTGGCCACCTGTAAGCTGCAAAAAAAGGCTTACCAGGAACCAGACAATTCTGTCAACACCTTGATCTTGGACTTCAGGCCTCCAGAACCACGAGAAAAATAAGGGTTCTAATTTAAATGATCCAGTAATACTTTGTTACGGCAGTATGAGCAGACTAATAGGGTCCTTGGGTAATTTTTAAAAGCTTCAAAGGGATCCTGAGACTACAGATTTTTGAAAACAATTGAACCACACAATATAAATTAAAATGTTTGTTAATTTTATTTTGTAGTCACAACCTGAAAAAGTAATCATAATTCTCACCAACTATTCAAAATAGAAAAGGAGAGAAAATTCAGGTTATCTTTAAAGTAACCTTATTTTTACTTGATATATGTAATTACCTAACATTTAAAAGCATATGGAAAAGGTGAAACAAACTGTGAAAGCATGAATACAGCCTTCAGAGGCACTGGTTTTCATTTTTAGAAAACTAGGCGTTAGATGTGCTTGATGAGTACACACTAACTTTTAGAGTATTTAAGTCTATTATTTGAGTACAAAGTCATGCACAAAACATAAGAGCAAACCTGCAGTTTTGCTTCATGAGGGAAAAATAATCTAACAAATTATAAGGTGACACAAAGCAATCAATCAATGAACCAACAAACATACTAAACACAATTATTTTTAACCACATAAAACCTATCAAGAATATGGGGAAATAATAAATTAACAGTAAAAAACTTTATTTCAGTACATGCAAAATTAAATATTTTTGTTCTCCTAGGAACTTTAGGTAACAATACTGTGGAAGTCACCTAAGAATGAAGACTTTTTTTATGGCACTTTAAGTAATTATTAAGTTACAAAAGCTTAGATGAGTGGAAAAAAAGCATCTGCTTCAACAAGTTTCTTAATTTCATGGACATAAGTATGTTGTTGTATTGCTTTTAACAGCAAATGAACTGTACATCCAATTGTAGATTCAAATATTAGACGTTGATGAACAGTAGCACTCTAATCTAAAAATCAAGCAAAATGCTTGATTTTTAAGGCTCTACATTTTAATAAATTTAATTTCACATAACTTTGCATGGCAAGAAAATACTAATTCAACTTGAGCTAACTTTTCTCTCAGTTTAATATTTGTATGAAAAAAATTATGCAGTCCATTTGAAAAAGTATAATCAATCCAAGGGCATGCAAGTATCAATTTAATCTTATATGAATTTCTCCATGTTCCAGTTACTTCATTCCTTATTACATGCTGCAAAAAGCAGTAATAATTTTTAAAGCCAAATATCACTTTGTAAGATACCAGGTGGCTTTCAATATTTACCATATAAGTCATGCATGAAATTTAAACATTACAAAAAATGACTTACCAGTTGACACTCCTGAAATATGCACATTTTCAGAATGTTCTGCAAGAGCACCATTTCCTAAAATTAAACATAATGAATAAACTAATTTCCAAGATAAAATTTATAAAAAATTTTAGATTCTCCCTTTGAAAGAGAAATAACTATAGAGAACTACTTCTAATATTCAGAAACTAAATTTGTTTCTTATAATAATCTTCAAAACAACATTAGGAAGCTCAAAATGATAATAGAGAAAATGAAACACTTTAGAAGTTACTACAGTGTAGTGTAATATATAAAGGTTAAATATATAGATATGATTGACACCAGAAATAATTTCTATCAATTAATAATCGAAAGGGAAGTCAGGACTAACTATAAGAGAGAACTATTGCTTTATACACAGCAGAGTCATACATCTTAATACTTGATTTTTTTAAAAGATGTCTTACACTGTCTTCTAAATCTTCAAACCTTTTCTTAACAACAACAGTTTTAAAAGCAGGAACAGAATTACATTCTGTTTTCATAGTCTCTGATTTTTTGTATCCCACTCCACAGAGTTGGGCACAGAGATACATTCCAGTAACTTAGAATTAACCATCACCCAGTAAAATAAAAGCAAGGTTTTCCATGATTCACATTAAAGTACTGAAGATACTCTTTTCAAATTAATATGAACAGTGTCTTCACAGGTAATAAATATTTAAAACTTTTATTTTTCTGTAAATGATTTCCCTCTATCTGTTCTTTTTGCACAAATTGTTCATTATTACTTCCAAAGTTTGGTCTCGCTCTACTCATCATCTGTATCTGGCACTTCAACTGCTCAGAAGCCCAGAAGACAAAGAATTCTCCCAGGAGTAGAGTGAAGCAGGGTACACAGCTAGCCGAGAGAAGCTTAGAAGTCAAAAGCAGAATTATCTTTTATGGCTGAGAGGGAAGGAAAACAGCAAATATGACTACTAACTATTGCTTTGCAACTATCCACTTGCATGACTGATTGATTACTATACACCATCCCTCACTGCACTAAGCTGTAGGTGAACAGAAGCTTTGTTTATTCGGTTTACCACTGTATGCACAATTCCTGGGACACAGCAAGTGCTGAAAGAGCTGTCAGGTGAATAAATGAAGTCTGTCAGCACGATTAAACCATGCCCCTTAAGCACCTGATATAGTACCTGGCATATAGCACTGAAAAGGTATTCAATTTTAAATAGTGTAAAATAATAATAATAATTATTATTATTTTTTGACAGGCAGAGTTAGACAGTGAGAGACAGAGACAGAGAAAGGTCTTCCTTTTCCGTTGGTTCACCCCTCAAGTGGCCGCTACGGCTGGCGCATTGCAGCCGGCGCACTGCGCTGATCCGAAGCCAAGAACCAGGTGCTTCCTCCTGGTCTCCCATGCAGGTACAGGGCCCAAGGACCTGGGCCATCCTCCAATGTACTCCCGGCCACAGCAGAGAGCTGGACTGGAAGAGGAGCTACTGGGACAGAATCCGGCGTCCCAACCAGGACTAGAACCCGGGGTGCCGGAGCCACAGGTGAAGGATTAGTCTATTGAGCCGTGGCGCCGGCCCAATAATAATTATTATTAAATAATAGAATAACAGAACATTTTTAGTTCAGCTATAGCTATATCATTCAGTATCAAATGTTGTTTCCTTCCAGAATGACACAGCAGAAATAGTGAAACAGGTACGTAAGCTATATTAAATATATAAATAAACCAGATCCTAAAGATTTTAAGTATTGTGCATTAATACCAGATAAGGCACAATTTCTTTTTCATAGCAATGCTTAATGTTAGTTACTGAGACAACTAGAGACCCAACCCATTTCATTATCACACACTACTTATAAAAATAGGTAGCAGAAACAAAGTAAGAAATGGATTCAATATATCATCTAACAAGATTTGCCAAAAGTCAGCATAAACTGTTTAATCCTTGATACTCCTAAGTAGGTGATCAGTACTGTCCCTTGGAACTTATGAGAAATGCAGTAATCACCTCTGATTATTGAATAAGAATCTGCATTTTAACAGGATCCTCCAACACTCAATGTTATCTATACACATTAAAATTTGAAAAGCACTGTTAAGGTTTTAGTTTAAATCTTCTATTTGGGGGTCAGTGCTGTGACGCAGCTAGTTAAGCTATTGCCTGTGAATCCAGCGTCCCATATGGACACCAGCTCAAATTCCAGCCTCTCCACTTCCGACCCAGCTCCCCACTAATGGCCTGGGAAAAGCAGTGGAAGATGCGCTTGGGCCCCTGCACCCATGTGGGAGACCTGGATGAAGCTCCTGGCTCCTGGCTACGGCTTGGCTCAGCCATGGCAGCTATCTGGGGGAGTGAACCAGCAGATGGAATATCTTTCTCCCTTTAACTCCAAATTTCAAAAAAGAAACAAACAAAATCTTCTACTTCTGTATTATAGACAACTACAAATTATAGTATAATTTATGATGCTAAAGTTCCCAATGACTTTAAGGTAGCATATTAAATTATGCTCGAGTTTTAATACATTATATATATATATATATATATATATATATATATAATGCATTACATTTTTTTTCCTATTCAATAAACAGATTAAATATAGGGCCTGCATTCTGGCACAGTGAGTAAAGCTGACACATGCAACACTGTTATCCTATACGGGCATCGGCTCTACTTCCAATCCAGCTCCCTGCTAATGTTCTAGGAAAGGCAGCAGAAAGTGGCCCAAACACTTGGGCCCAGAACTCATGTGGGAGATATGGATGAAGCTCCTGGCTCCAGAATGTTGTCTGGCCCTGCTTTGTGGCCATTTGTGGAGTGAACTGGTGGATGGAAAATCTCTCTGTTTCTCTCTCTTGTTCTCTCTGTAATTCTTTCAGAATAATCTTTTTTTTTTTTTTTAAAGAAAAAGAATGTTCCATTAAGGTGTATTCTTAAAATATTTTTTTAAAAAAAGAGAGAAGGAAAAAATGTAGGATAATGCATTTAATATTGTAGATTTTGGATTAGATTGCCAAAATTATACTACTAGCTCTATTACTTGTTCAATTTACAGCAAGTTACCTAATCTGTCTGTGACTCAATTTCATCTCTAAATGGAAATAATATCTACCCATACAGGGCTTGGTAGAATTCTTCCTAACAGGAAAAAAGGAACTACAGGGGGCCGGCTCTATGGCGTAATGGATTGTGCCACTGCACGTGATGTCAGTATCCCACACTGATGCTAGTTTGAGTCCTGGCTGCTCCACTTCTGATCCAGCTTCCTGCTTATGTGCCTTGGGGAGCAGTGGAGGGAGGACGGCTCAAGTCCTTGGGTCTCCGCACCCATGTGGGGGATCTAGAAGAAGCTCCTGGCTGCTGGCTTCAATCTGGCCTGGCTCTGGCTATTGAGGTCATTTGAGGAGTAAACCAGCAGATGGAAAAATCTCTAACTCTGCCTTTCAAATAAATAAATAAATACTAAAAATAAAAAAGAGAAAAAAATCTATGTAAGTATGCAAATGCATAAACTGATTATCTTGTAAGAAAAGTCAATAAACTGAATGAAATACTTTTATATTTATTAATTTAGAATGATATCCATATTAAATTAAAAATGTTTTCTGAGCTGCATTAGAATTTGACCTAACAACTTTAAAATTACATATGCAGTTTATAGTATGCATATATTATATATATATGTAAAAGGCACTTCAAAAGGTTCATGAAAAATGTAATTAAAAACTGTTTTTGGTGCAAAAAATGTTTGAAATCCAGGCAGTTTTTTTTTCACAATATAGTATACATGATTTCAAACATTTTGCAGCAAAATAAAACTTATCTTTTTTTTTTTTTATTTAACAAGTAGAGATATAGATAGTGAGAGAGAGAGAGAAAGGTCTTCCCACCATTGGTTCACTCCCCAAATGGCTGCCATGGCCGGCACTGTGCTGATCCAAAGCCAGGAGCCAGGTGCCTCCTCCTGGTCTCCCATGCGGGTGCAGGAGCCCAAGCCATCCTCCACTGCCCTCCCAGATCACAGCAGAGAGCTGGACTGGAAGAGGAGCAACCAGAACTAGAACCCGGCGCCCATATGGGATGCCGGTGCCTCAGGCGGAGGATTAACCAAGTGAGCCACAGCGCCGGCCTCCTAAAACTTATCTTTTAATCCTATTTTCCAGAAACCCTTTGAAGTCCCCTTGTATTTGCTTTTGCACAGGTGATGACAAGTCTGAAGGTAACACCCAGACCATAAGGAATACCTCTGGGACTGGAACCAGAGGTGAATATGTGTTGTTCCTCATACATTAGTGGTGACCAGACCCTGATTTCTTTACACACCACTGTCTTTAGGGTGTGACTCATATTCAGATGCAGTCATTTTACATTATTTTTGCAGAACCTTTTGGCGGTAGTAAACACTGGAAAAATATATAGTCTAATGAAACAGGATTTCTGTACTTACACAGTAGAAGCTGACATTAATGAACCCAATGATTAAGTAGAAAACTGCTTAAAAAAGTTTTTCAAGAAAAAGTTTCATTTTCACCTGAATCAGGAAGTAATTTTTTATGATGCAAAAATTTTTTTCAGTCCTGCTAACTATCAAGAGGTGATCAACTAACACTGCCAGCTATCCCCATTAATCACTCTTCCGTAGTTTTGAGTGCAATACACGAGAGAATCAACTGAAACAGATGTTGTTTTAGTAAAGAAGTTATAGAGCAGTGAAAGAATTTGAGAGCTGGAACCAGACTTTTTGCAATCAAACTCCTGCTATACTATTTATTTAGTCACAAACCTCAATTAGATTACTTCTCCTCAGATTTTTTTTTGTTTACCTGTACAACAGATGTCATCAGAAAATAATGTCTGAGGGGCCAGCACTGTGGCACACTGAGTTAAGCTGCAGCTTATAACTCTGGCATCCTACATCAGAGCGCCAGTTGGAGTCCCGGCTGCTCTGCTTCTGATCCAGCTTCCTTCTAATGTGCCTGGGAAAGCAGCGGACAATAGCCTATGTACTTGGGTGCCTGCCACCCACGTAGAAGACCCAGATGGAATTCCTGGCTTCAGGTTTGG